GGGCGGGGGCGCGGGGGCGGTGCGGGGCCTACCTGCGCCTTGGGCCTGCGCTTGGGCCTGGGCTTGCGCCTGCGCCTGCGCCTGGGCCTGGGCCTGCGCCAGCACCATCGGCTGGAGGCCTATACCCTGCTGCAGGAGGTACTGGCGTTGCGTCAGCTGCAGTTGCTGCATCAGCTGCTGCTGCTGGAGCGCCAGTTGCTGCAGCGGGCCCGTCGCCTTCTTCTTGTCGGTCGCCTGCAGCAGGTGCGTCTGTTGGATGAGGTTGAGCTGCAGCTGCTCCTGCAGCTGCTGCATCGCCTGCTCCAGCTGCTTGCGCCCCAGCTCGGCCAGCTGCTGCTGTTGCTGTAACAGCGGCGCTGTGCTCGAACCCGCTCCCACCCGCCGTCCTTCTCCGGAGAGGGCGCGGACGCGGTCGCGAGCAACTTCTCTCTCCTCAACGCTTTCGCAAGATTTTGGATTCACGAATGCATAGAAAATAGGACGCGATTCTTAATCCGATTGAACTCAGTTCTGATGTTGGGACCCCATCCGACCTAATATTATCCGAGACCGTCCCCGTTTTCACTAGAACTTTCCAGTGTCTCAATAAAATTCTTTAAAAAAAGGTTTTATTTGTCTAGTTATTGTGAGTTTGAATTGCCATCTATTAACGTGTATCGATAGATTTAAGAAATATAGATTTACTTTAAACTTTATTTAATCTGCGGAAAGATTGAATAACTCAGGTAATGTATTACAAGAACTAAATATCGCCAAATGTATTTTATCTGCTAATAATATTTATATGATGTTATAAGAGCTGATACAATGTTTATAAGAACCTGTTGCTACGTGTTGCTTTTCTTCGACCCTTTTTCAGAGAATTTCTGTTTTAGCTTCGTGAGAACACGGCTTTTTGAAAAATAAGAAGTCTCGTAGTCCACATGTTATCTTTTAAAACGTTTGAAATTGTTTTTGTAGCTGATATTAGTGTTAATTTTTTTGACATTCATTATTGATGACGTCTAAGTGGAAAACTCAAATCGAAATCGATCGATCTTTACTCAGCGTTATTACGTACCGGCAAGTTATTTTAGCGAAATACCGCGAAATACCCGATTGGAAAATGTGCTCCCTTTCCTAACTTTCTTTCCAGGATAATTCTCTTTTTAAACGAGACGGTTCGGCATGGGCAATATTCCAATGACGCGATTGCTCGGCGCGATTTTGAATGGCGGCCGGCGGCTGGTGCGGCGACTTACCACCGATTTGAGGGTGAGGTAGCCGAAGCGGTCCGTGGCCGGGTGATCGGCCGCGGGGTCCTGCAACAGAGCACCGCGCAGTCAGCGAGGCGAGGCGCGCACACGCATTGCAGCTTGGGCGGAGTAGAAAGTGGAAACATGTCGCCAAATAACTGACAGGTGGTCGTTGAAGATAGCAATCATTGATATTACACAATTAAGTTTGCAGACTGTAATTCTCAATACCATTTGTAAAATGTGTCAGCTGTCGCGATTACGCATGAGACGTAGGATTTTAGCAAATATTGTTGAGAACAAGTTAATTTTATTTATTAATTTGTTGAGAATTAACGTTGGATCTGGTTTTTGTGTTAAATGATTAAATATTGTATGCTAACATTGATGAATATATTAAATCATTATCAATATTTTAAAGTATATTAAAATGTTAGTGTCGTTTTTTGTTTTAAAAATTTGATGATTGGCCATTGCTTCTCCGTACATGTTCTATTTTCACTACGCTATCCACTATCTTCACGTCAAACCCTTAGTTATTTGGTGACATCCATTCAATAGAAATAGCCAGTATTGTGCCAAAATAGGTTTGCTAATAAGATAAAAAAGTTAAGTAAAGATACTATGTATCCCAGCTAAGCACATCCCACGTAAGCGACAATCATTAAAAATCATTACCTATATGTTCTTTAATATTTTATATAACTTCTTAAATTTTCCTATTTGTTCAATGATTCTGCATAAATAAGAATGTACACCAACATTACTTTTCACAATACTGGGATATGAATTATATTTTTAAATGTAATTATTAATTGAAATAAAATACTTGTTAGAAAAAGGGAATGGGAAAAGGGTGGGTGGGGCTTACAGGGAGAAGAGGATGAAAACTTCAATGCAAATAATCACGCTATAATGAAGATGCATTAAATGAAACAAACAATAAATGTTTTGCAGCGATTTAAAAAGGTAACGACTTTCACATACGTATACGTATTCTTTTTCGTAAAGACTATCTTTTATTTTCATTTTATTTAGTATCATTGAAAAATTATTGCGCAAGCTGACTTCTAGAGATAATATAATTCCAATTGGCTCTATGTATTCCTTTTAAAGGATGAAAACGTGTGGCTACTAGTGGAGACTGGCCTTATTTGAAGGGAAAGTTTCAAATTCAGCAAAGGAGGGAAACAAAACTAAGTTGTTGCATAATTGCAGGAATATTTGCATAACTTACTAACATATGATGAATGTGAAAATATAATGATAAAGTTTTTGTTCATTAATATTTAGATTTAAAAATGAAATATATTGAACAAAATTTATTAAATATTTTAGTAATTAAATCTGAGTTCAGTTTCAAAACTAGGTATGACAAACCCACGATTTTCAACTAACTCTGTTACATAATGTCCACAATGGTAAGTGTAAAATCATCCACATTAAAAATCTAAACAAAATTTGCACAAGAAGCATAATGTAAACAAATTAGTCAAAAAAATGTTTCCAAGTCTATAAACCCATTCGTTAACAAATAAAAACGTTTCTGTTGAAATATTGCAATTTTTTAGATAAAAAGTAATAAGAAGAAACAGTATACAATTGAAGGACTTAGTTTTGAAATTGGATAAGCCATATCCTTTACTTTTACAAGCACTAAAGAAACTTACTTTCTTGAATCTACGTTCTAGAAAGAAATTATTTTTATACTGCAGGGGAAAAGCACCGATATCATAAACACAGTTTCTGAGTCCCGGATACTAGAAAAATAGGTTTCTCTTACTCCTATATGTATTAAATTACTTTCTCAAATAAGTAGAGTAGTCAGAATTCACGTTTTGTGGGCGTTTGATACCAAAAAATAGGTTCGAATTCGAAAGGGATATTTGATTTTTTGAAGGTTACGTTACATGAAGTCCCTAAGATATATTCGGAATTTTCTCAGAAATGGCTCCAAATATTTTCTTTACAACTTTTACAGTAGAAAAAAAGCACGCTTAATAATGCCGCAGGATCAATTGTCATTAAAACTTGTGAATTTTCGAAAATTGCGGAAGTTAAAAATTGTTTAGTCACCGTCCTCCTGCAACTACGTTATTGAAGATAGAGATTTTTCTTAATGAAATTGTTCTTCAAATTTAGATATTAAAATAATATCCGGTACAGTGTTTTGACAATATGAGTAGTTTTCATGTAATTTGGAATGAAATAGTAACAATTTAATAAGTATATGTATGTAGTTGGCATTTTCGGCCGATTGTCCGAATTCGCCGGCTAGCAAGCCTATATTTTTGCACCGACCAGGAATTGAATTCGAGATCGCACCACAGGAAGATCGCATTTTGCCTATAGGGGTTTCTTAATAAATACTTAAACATTTGTTTTCACAATATCGGCTCTAATTTTTTCATTCTTTTTTTATTCCATTATGTTCATACTATGGCATATGTCCAATTTCCATTAACAGCTCTAATGTTTAGATTATTGTAAAAGTTCTTTCTTTTTGATGCCTCGGAAGTGTTGTTAACAGCCAGGCGATTTAGTACATACATTTAGCTTGTGGAAGTTATGTGTCTGGGTCAGAATTCCGGGCTGGGCAAATATTTTTGCAGGTACATTTAATATTAAAATTACGTAACCAGTACGTATAAAACGAGAAAGTGCGTGCTGATGAGCACATCTGATATTAGTTTCAAAGCCGGCAAAGTCCACGTTTTATGAATGTTAATGAATGTTATGAATATTTATGAATTTTACTAATTGTATGAATGGTAAATTTTTCGCGTTTTCCTCAAAATTACAAGAATCGAACTTGGTTGACACAATTCAGAAAACAAGAACTCACGATGGATCCCATGTCAGAGAGCGGCACTGAATTGGACCCAATCTTTGGAAGTTTACATATAATTATATCCATGATTAAAATTTCGGACCAGTTCTTCTCTGCCTCCAGTCCATAATTTCTGGAGAATTTTTCATTAAAATAAGCTACGATGTAAATTTATAAGCTATATCTTCACTCATTACAAAATAATTAACGTAATGGCAATATCGCAAAGGGGAAGCACTTTATGAGATGAAGTTTATCAATATTTTGTGGAAGAGTGCCTTGATGCACAGAAGTACAAATAATGGAGGCGTAAACGTGTTTCTATAGAAGGAAGTCAACAAAAACGGGATACATCTCTCATTTCATTTGCAGTATTAATGAAGTAGCTTCTTATAGTTCTAGAAATAGCGAAGTTCTTCTTTTTTTATCCAGGGACATCTCGAAAGCTCTCCAGTGAAAATGTTGAGCTCTGAACACATTAAACATTTACTGCAGCTCTAGAAGGTGTCATATCGATGTAAGGTTCTCTCATAGAACAAATTATTTTTTCGAAGAAAGTCTGCTGGGAGCATATGTATTACAAGAAGCTTTTAAAAACCTAGAACCTTCCCACCCTCGTCGAGGAAAAATGATAGTGGGGGCTCTGTTTCTGAAAGCAATGTCTGTTCAAATTTTTCTCTGAGTTTGTGGCCACCGCTGCTTGAATCATCGAACAAATGCGTCCTCTTCTCCAGATAAAATGGTGACTGGTTGGTTCTGGTCGCGAAAACCTTCTCAAATGTCTTTACACTTCTCTCCCCGTGCGGAAAGCGCAGTCTCAAGAGGATCAAAATATTTTCATTTCTCTTGTAACCAGTTAGTCAAATATCTAACGGTTGCAAATACTAATATTATATATCCTATCAATAAATATATCTTTACTATGTATGCGCAGTGAAATTAAGATAATATAAGATTGAGATCTATGGATTATTTCAGTCTTTGTTTCATTTCAATTGATTCAGATATACTCATAAATCTTTGGCTTTGGACTCTTGAACAAATTACTTTGTTAGTGTCCACTATATTGATTTTAAGCACGTTTCTGCATTCCTCTCACACAGAATCCATCCCGTATTTCTCTCACACAGAATAGAGTTAATTTGCTTCGTCGAACACCAAATTACGTAGAGTGATTCAAAAGTGACGAGGGCGGGAAAAAGACCTCGGTGAATAACATACCCCCCCCTCTTTCGAGGAGTGGTGTGCAAAAAGGTGACGGGGCGCGAGGGCAGCGGTAAGTGGGCGTGCGCTGAAAGGAGCGCGCCGCGGTCCAGCGGCTGTCGAGTTCGTTTTTCTTTGAGTGATCGTGCTCCCGCGGGCCCGATCCTGGAGGTCGGCAACTAGAGGCCTCGTTACAGCAGAAGTTGCTATACTTCGTAAAGGATGCGAGGTAAGGGCAAGATTTCGAAATGAGTTTTTTCCCCTCACAGGTGAAAATTTATGGTTTGTGGAAAAAATATAAAAGAACGTGGAGGATTGAACAAGGAATTTTTGGAACGCAATCATGAACTAATACTTCCGGAGAATACGGAATTCTGACTTTGGCAAAATAATGAAGTGTACAGCGTGTGAAGTGCAGGGAGCGATAGGGCGTGGGTGAGAGGCGGGGGCGAGTGAGGAGCGGGGCAGCCACCTG